ACTGTGTCAGATCAGAGCTGTGCTTCACAGAGTTGCTGTGAAGCAGACCCTGATGGATGGCGTCTCTGTCAGATCAGAGCTGTGCTCCACAGAGTTGTCAATGGGTGATTTTTCAGAAGCAGGTTGCCAGACCTTTCTTTGGAGCCACCTGTGGGTGACTCTAACCTTTCAGTCAGAAGCTGAGCACATTAACTGTCTGCCCTACAAGGGGCTGGCGTCAGCTTCCACAATCCCGGGAGCCAATTCCTTACAATCTACCTCTCCCTCTCTCTCCTTATGGTAGAAAGTTTGAAGTCTGTAGGTCTGGTGACAGGCTTGGAGCTCTCCGAGGCAGGATTTTCTTCCTGGAAACCTCAAGTTTTGCTTGTAAGGCCTTCAACGAACTGGACCAGGCCTCCCCATGCTACCCAGTGTCACCTCCTTTAGAGTCAACTGGTTATGGCACTGACCACATCTACAAAGCACTGTCGAGCAGCATGTTGACTGTGTTTGATCAAAGAGCAGGGCATTGTCACCAGGCCAAGTAGATGCGTAGAATTAGCCATCACAGAGGGAACCTGTTGTCCTCAAGGCTGGGGTTAGGTGAGCAAACTGTCCCTTACAGGTGAGCACACTTGACAGGGAGCAGAGAAAGTTCTGGGCCAGCATGGACACAGCCCAGGGATGCAGCCACAGATGGGGGTGGGCCCAGATTTTGTGGGGTGTTCTGGTTCCCTAGTGCACTCTGACGGGAATATACCACAAATGAGAATGGCTTTAACAAACAGGAGTTTATTCTCTTAGAGTTTGGAGGCTTCAAATCTGAGTTCAAAGTGCCAGGCTCTAGGGTCTAGGTGAAAGCCCCTCAACCTTGGGCTTCAGCTCTGCCTCCTGTTCCCAGCCCACTGAAGCTTGAGGTTTTTCTTCACTCAGACAGCTGCTGGCTGCTGAGGCTGACAAGCCCAAGGTTGACAAGTAACAAGGCACAGTCCTGATACTACCAAACCACACGGCAGGTCATTGATTCATGTCCACTGAAAGTCCCAAGGTGGGCAGAGCATGGCAGCCTGCTGAACAATGACACAGCTACATGCACGGTCAAGTGTGCCATAAGCTAGAAACCATTCCCAAAGCTGCTGCTTATATACAGGAAGCAGACTCCATCCCTAAGACAGCTACTCAGCTGCTTGTGGTAGATCCCACCATGGAGGTGATTGCCAGTCTCATCATGGGGAATAACTACCACCAGCTGCCCAGCCACTCAGCCAGGCCCAACCAAGTTGACACACTGTTGTGCCCAGGTTATGAAGGAGTTGTTCAGTGTGAGGAATTTGCTAACACACGACAATGCAAAAGCAAAAGGAAAGTTTATTCACTAGCTCGAGTTAGGGTCCCTGTTCTCACCAAATCAATGGCTTGAGCAAAAGACCCCGTGCTCTTTCATTATCACATATTTATAGAAAAAATATAGGGTGGAGTAGATAATTGGTTTTTAGGACAGGGGTTTGGGAAGTTGGGGGGCGGGTTGGAATCCCCTGGTTTCAAAGGTGAGTGAGAGATTTTTCGGGGCCGGGCGGATCTCTTTGATATGTGCAAACTCCATGCGAAATCCGGGGAGGTAAGAGCTGTCGGAGCCTTCAAAGGTGGGCGAGAGGCTTTTTGGAGCCATGCAGATCTCTGATAAAGGCTCTGAGGCATGGGACGTTTTAATCTCTATACTAGAGGCATTAGGACTCAGCATGGGACGTGTTAATCTCCACACTAAAGGCTTCTGGTTAAAGGATCTCTCAGGCCTCACAACACAACCTCAACTACCACAAGGGGCATGAAGCTTTGGGGGGGATCCTCTTTAAGAAAAATAATACACATCTACAGAATCAAAGTTGAGTGTGGGAGCGAACATTTAATCAGAATAAGAAACAAAGTTGCAACCACTTAAAAATTCCAGAAAACTGGGAATGCCACACATCCAGAAAGCTGTTGAACTGACCACTGTGGGGCACTTCTGGGTGGTCACTGTCCCACGTTTCTGGCTGCACGCTCTTAAATGATCTTTTCTGGAGGTCACGCCTTGGTGATATCTTCCACTGGAGAACAGAATGCTGGGTCAGCTCAGTCTGTGGCTGGTTTTGCATCTGCTCTGCATGTTCTCAAAAGGTGTGCCCACTGGGGTCTGCATCACGGGGCCCTCTGGCCTTGCACCTTCCCTCTACACCGTAGCATGGAATGTTCTAGAAATGTTCCGTTGCTCACAGCACCCCGTCACCCCTGACCAGCTAGCAGTAGGATAAGCGGTGCACCATGTAAATAGGCCCCCATGAAACCCATACCAAATGGGTTCCCACTTCATCTTCCCCTTAAATGGATCCTCAAATTGGACACCCCAGCACCACCAGGAGGGGCAGTGTGCTGGAGGGGGACACTGCTGTGGAAAGTGACCGATCACAGCTTGATACTGACACGGCCGGGTGAGGGCCCCAACACACAGCTCAGTCTGTCCCGGAATTCCTCCCGGCAGCAAAACCAAGACCGGCCCCTGCAGACACAGTTCTCTGTGGGGATGGAGTTGCCAACCATCCACGCTGCTGCCCAGAGGGCTGGGAAGGGACAAGGTAGGGGGAGCCCTGGGCTTGGAAGGGGTGAGTCCTGTGGCCGCTGTAACAATTCTGCAAACTGGACAATCTCAAGCAACAGGTCGACCCTTCCACGGCCCTGGAGGCCAGAAGTCCAGTCGTGTCACTGGGCTGAAATCAGGGCATTCTCAGGGCTGGGCTCCCTCCAGAGGCTCCAGCGGAGGACCTGGGGGCTCCAGGCATTCTGCCGTGTTGCCGTGTCACTCCACCTCCGCCTCTGTGCTCGTAGTCTCTTCCTCTCACATGTCAACCTCCATGTGATCGTGTTCAGGGCTGGCCTCCAGGTAGATTGAGATGGGGCTCTGTCCTGAGGATAGAAGGTGATGCTGATAGAGGACTCACCCATGCTAGGCCCCCCTGTGCCAGGCCTGGGCTGGACCCCGAGGAGTCAGAGGCCTCATGCTCTGGGAGCTTTCAGGGAAGAGCACCCTGGCCTGGGTGATGGGTAGGCTTCCTGGAGGCAGTGCCCCTGAGCTGGGCCTTGAGGGTCCAGGGAGAGGAGGCAGGGCAGGGGAGAGCAGGTGCACCTGGAGAGCAGACATGGAATGGTGGCTGCGGGCTCAGCCTAGGAGGCTGGAGGGGGCGGAGCCTGGGAGCCTGCCTGGGAGGGCCTCCTTGGGAGATGGGGGTTGGCAGAGGCAGGACTGAGAGGAGGCCCTGCAGGCTGTCCATCATTGGAGCGTGCACAGGTGCAGCAGGTGCTGGCTGGGCTGCTCGGGTCCTGGCCCACCTCCCTGACTTGCCTGCAGGGCTGGTCCCAGGGCAGGGCCTGGCCATAATGTGTGTCTGTCTGACTGACTCCTTCAGGAGATAGCTCAGGTCCTGGGGCGGGGCCTGGCCATAACGTGTGTCTGTGTGACCGTCGCCTGCAGGGCTGCTCCTGGGGCGGAGCCTGGCCCTAACATGTGTCTGTGTGACCATCGCCTGCAGGGTTGGTCCCGGGGCAGGGCCCAGCTGTAAAGTGTGTCTGTGTGACTGTCGCCTGTGGGACTGATCCTGGGTCAGGGCCTGGCTATAATGTGTGTCTGTCTGACTGTCACCTGTGGGACTGGTCCCAGGTCAGGGCCCAGCTGTAACGTGTGTCTGTGTGACCATCGCCTGTGGGACTGGTCCTGGGTCAGGGCCCAGCTGTAACGTGTCTGTGTGACTGTCACCTGCAGGGCTGGTCCTGGGTCAGGGCCCGGCTGTAACATGTGTCTGTGTGACCATCGCCTATGGGACTGGTCCCAGGGCAGGGCCTGGCTGTAATGTGTGTCTGTCTGACTGTCACCTGCAGGGCTGGTCCCGGGTCAGGGCCCAGCTGTAATGTG